AAGCTTAATTTTAACTTTGGAAACTAATACCTTTACTTACTTAAATTTGCCTTAGAGGCACCCACCCACATAACTCTTAAATGAAACATCTTTTAAGACTCAATAAAGTCATAACTTCGGGTTCTTTAGCTACACCTTCATCTACTCCTACAATTTGAATTTCTTGTAAAATTATATACATGTTGCCAAAGATAACCATTCAGATGGAGGAGCAGGAAGAATCGACATACACAGTTTTAAGTTATTGCACTGCAATTTATTTTTATTTACCTTTCAATATCTCTTATTTCCTGCTTGTAGACTTGCATGTTAAACAACAAGGTCACCCTGCATGTCAAAACTAAAACTTTAGGATAGCTGAAAAACTTTAAAGATAGCCACAAAACTGAAACTAAATAAGATAAAATTCACTGCCACAACAGTTAAAATGTAAGGCAACTCAAAATTTAATCACAAACAAAACAAAACAAAAAAATTGCAACTAAATTAAAATGTCTCTATTGGATAATCAGGAATCCCTCTAAGGAGGTAACCTACGGTTGCTAATAAGATTTCCCAAGGTCTAGATGAAAGTATGGAACTCATTGAGTTGAGTTTTTTAAATTCATTTGGACTAAGTGAATCCGAAAGAAAAAATTTGTGTCAGAATGAGGGAACCGTAGGATCCTAACCGGTTTCTCTCTAATCAAATTTAACATTCCCCATAATATTTAAATGACCATGACCTTAGGAAACATTTGATTTGACCTCAAAACTTTACACATTAGAAAACTTAAACTCGCCACGACGAGGAGCTTGGAGCTAGCATTGTGGGCTGCATGACCATCTACAACATCAAAAAATGTCTACACCAGCTAAACCATTCCTTAGAATTAAACAACAAGCCATCAAGCCATAGGATTTTGAGGTCATCCGCTTAATGCGACAAAAATCCTCACTTCTTTAGGCCTTTATATAGCCCTTTTGTATAATATAATCCCTAACTCATTTTTTAAGATTACAAGGTTTTCATTTGTCACGACCTAAATCCTCAATCTTCTAGGTTATTTGTATGATCCTTTCACATGAATGTAAGCCCAAATTAATAAAATTTGCAAGATGAAAAATTTAAATATTTCTCTTATAAATTGAAGCCATGTCGTAGGATAGCATAAGAAGTCACCGAGGTTCTCCTTACGATCTGTGACATCTCCTAGTCTCTCTTCCTATAGATTCCAAAAATAAGCATTTCAAATTTGATACATTCCCTTTTCACGCCTCTTTGTCCGAGCTCTTAAAAATTCTTATTCTTTGAACTCCTTGAAGACAATATCCCTTGATTTTTATCGAGAGTTTTCTTAGGTCACTTTGGTCATCTAAGATGTAATTTAACTATAAGGGCTTACCTTTGTAGGACACATTAACTAACCCAACTTAATATAAACCCTATTTACTTTTCCATATTAAATAGGGGAACTTGTCGGCTTATAAATAAAAATGTTTTTTGCAGACCAAAAAGATGTCATATATTCCTTAGTTTATTTAATCGAGTCTCACCCTAAAATCTTGTGTTTGTTGTTTGGCATAGATACATTGCTTGAGGTGTAGTGCTCTTTCATCTAAACTTTGAAAAATATGGGATCATTTTGATTTCATATTTTTATTTACTATATATATATATATATATATATATATATATATAAAAATAAAACAAAAAGAAACAACTAATCATAGAGGGTGTAGTCGGGGGGTCCACCGCCTCC